GAGGCCCGGAAGGTTCCGAGGAGGGGTCTGGGTTTGCCTCCTCCATGCCTCTCTCCTGGGTGGGCCAGGAAACTGCCCTCCTCACCCCATCCCCCGGCACCTGCCGGGATGCTGACCCCCAGGCCACCCCTCCCCGGTCCGGTGGAGGCCACCAGGAGGGTCCCTCCCAGGGGACGCTGGCCGCCTCTCCTGGGCCAGCAGCGCCACCTGGTGGCCTGTGGCCTCCAGACACGTGTGTCCAGCAGGCGCTTCCAGCCCATCGGTGGGAGGGCACCGCAGCTCTGAGAACTGGTCCTGTGCCCAGCCCACGCCTGGGATGCCCCCTCGCTCTTCCCTGCCAGGTGCGTGCAGGCTCAGGGGAAGCTGGGCGAGAGGGTTAACCCAGAGGGCGCTCCAGAAAGGGGGCGCCTCAGTCCCCGTGCGCGTGTGTGAGTGTGTGTGTGTGCATGCATGTGTTTATGTGTGCGCGTGCGTGTGCGCGGGGGGCAGAGGGCTGCAGGGAGCCTCCTGAGGGGAAGGTGAGCCGGGCTGGAGGGAACGAGAGGAAGTGAAGGGTGTACCGGTCCTGTGGGGCAGCTCTGCTTCCTCCCTCAGCTCAGGCCAGTCACTCTGCTGAGGTGCTGAGCTCCAGGTGTGCCCACTCACAAGTAAACACGCACACATAAGCACACAGACATGCGTTCACACACAGCATGTACACATTCACGATGACACACATACCCCCCCCACACACACACACGCACACACAGCCCCACCTCGGGGTAGAAGGGCCGATTGCCTCCCTGATGGAGGGGATGGAGCGGCTCACCATTGACCTCCCGTCGCCGTGGCCTCCTCTCCCGCTCCTCTGGCCGGTGGGAGGAGAGGCCTGGATGCACGTGCCTCCCTGCAGACGGAGAGGCTGGCGTGGCCCAGGGCCTGCATGTCCCCGCGGCGCCTGCCGGCGGGGCTGCAGCGCCCTCTCCGTGAGCCTCTGGGGTTCGGGTCCCAGGCGCTGCAGCGGTCCTCGCCTGGGGCAGGACAGAGCGGGGCCCAGACCCCTGGGCGCACCCACGCACTACGCTGGACTCAGGCGGCCCAGGACCCCCAGGGACGGTCCCAAAGCCTCGGGTGCCTCGTCCGGGCTGGGCTGGGGCCCGGGACGCTGGGAGGCTGGGGAGAGGAGGGGAACGCTGCCATCTCCCGGGCTCTCCCCGGGACACAGGGGGCCCTGAAGGTTGGCTGTGCCTCTGGCCGCCCCGCCCCTACTCCCCTAGAGCGCCCACTCTGTCAGTGGCACCCCAGGAAGGCTCCCTGGCTTGGGGTGTGACCGGGGACCCACACTGGGGGAGGCCAGCTCTGCCCAGGTCGCCCTCCCCCAACAGGCCCGGGAGGAGGGGCGGGGAGCAGGCCGGCTGTGTAGGAGCACAGAGCCTGTTCCCCTCCTGGCTGCGGGCAGCGGGGGCCAGAAGGAGGGTGGAGGAGGGTCCTGATGTGCGGTGGGAGGAGGTGGGACAGTGGGTGCTGGGCTTGACATGCAATACACAGATCCTGTAACACAGAAACCCACCCGACCCTGCTGATGCTGTTAACCAAGGTCACCCCAACCCTTTTAATAAAACAAGAAAGAAGCAAGTCTGGGCTGGGCCGGTGGGGGGCGTGCAGCCCCGCTGGGTGGGCAGAGGGAGCCGGCCAGCCGTGACCCCCCCACAGGCTGGGGGGTCACGTGCTCTCAGCCTGATCACAGACAGGGAAGTGTGGCTGAGGGGCTCCGTGCGGCCCCTGCCCCCGGGCCCTGGTCTGAGCAGGCTCCTGACCTCGGGGCCCAAGGCTCCCACTTGCAGGTGGTGGAGCTGGGAGGCCCCAGGTCAGCTGCTCAGCGGCAGCCTGGTGGGGGGGGGGTGCTAAGACTAAGACACACACTGAAACGGACCCCCCCAACGTGTGGGAGCCCCAGGTGTGGCCCGAGGGCAGGGCCGGGGAGGGGCCGCCAGCAGAGGGCTGACTGCTAGTCGGGGGGGGGGGGGGGGCAGGGAGGGGGTCATGTGGAAGTGGGGGGGGGGCGCAGAGAAAGAACAGGGCCTAGGCTGGCTGCAGGGTCCTGGGCCCCCCTTTCCTCAGTCCCCACCTGTCCTCCCCCTTCCCTGCTCCCTGCACTGGGCCCCCTCCCCTCTGGGACACCAGCTGCTGGTCCGTGCCCGGGCCCCCGCCGGCCTGGCTCTTTAAGGCGTGAGGGTGGTGTGGCTGGGCCGGGAACTCCAGCTCCTTTGCAGGTCTCGCTGCTCCCCCGAGAACTGGGACACCCGGGGGCGTGAGGAGGTGCGTGACTGGCCCAGGGTGTCTCCTCCGCTCACCGCCTCCTGGGAGCCTGGCCTGTGGCTCCGGGGGGAGGGGGAGGGGGGAGGGGGAGGGGGGAGGGGTGTGGGGGCGTGCTGCCAGTGTGGGGTCTGAGCCAGGACGCAGGGGGACATCCATCTCCGAGGGCGCCGGCTCCTGCCCCAGGCACCGCCTCCAGGAAGCCGGGCGGGCGCCGCAGTGACACTTCCTGCTATTAATGGAGCCTAATCCAAACAGCCCTAATATTTACCGCCGCCTCCGGCCGGCGAGAGGGTGCCAGACAGCCAGAGCGATGGCCTGTCCTACGGGTACCCCTCCCCCCCCCGCTCCCCGCACTTCCCCGGCCCGGGACGCAGACCCACTGTGTGCGAGGCAGGAACTGGGAGGCGCACGCCCGGAGCCTCAGTTTCCCCATTTGTGAAATGGGGGTGACAGTCCTGACCTCCCAGGCTTATGGGGCGCTTCAGAGGAAGGGGGACGGGGTGCCACTGTGCAGGCCCACAAGCCCCTCCCTCTCCTGGGTCAGCGGGCCGACCTCCCCTCCCTCTCCCCGCAGGACCTGCCTTTGGTGATAAGGCACTCAGGCATTCTGTGTGCGTGCGTGCGTGTGACAGTGTCAGGGCTGAGTGTGCGTGTGTGCGCGATGTGAGGAGTCTCTCTCATCACCGATGGCTGCCTCCTCCCCAGACCCAGACACTCAGCATCTGCCCGTCTGAGTCCTGCCCGCACCCTGCCCACCTGCTGCCCCCTGCAGCCCCTCCACCCCCGCCCTTCACAGGGGCCAGGGAGGCAGCACAGGAGCCCACGGCCGGCCTCGCCCGGAGCCGGCTGTGCAGGCTGTGGCTGCAGGGCCGTGGCTGCAGGGCCTGTGCCCAGGCCGCCCGCCCGGCCAGCCCGCGGCGACCCCTGCCCACAGTGAGTCCGGGCACGAGGGAATAAACAGGTTTAATTTGGGACAAAGACTTCTCGTCGAGGAGACTGTTTACATCAGATATAAATACACACGCCATCCGCGTCACTCGGCTCTCGGAAAATCCGGAAGGGAGGCTGCGAGGAGGGCAGGGCGATGCAGGGACCTCGCCCCCGCCCCTCGGCTGGCCCCTGGGGCTCAGGAGGGAGCATGCCCCTCTAGTTGCCAGGCGGGAAGAGGAGCGGAGATGGGGAGACTGGTCCACCATGGGGCCAGCTTCTCAAAGGCAGGAGGTGGGCCCCACTCCCGCCCTGGCCCCGGAGGCAGGCAGCCACCTCTGGAGCTGGAATGGCTGGTGGCGGCTCCCCCAGGGCCCCCGCAGTCCCCGGGGAACCGGGTAGGGTGGAGGGATTGCAGGCCTGGGGGGCCAGAGGCACACGGAGGCAACCCTGGAGGGCAGGCCGGAGGAGGCGGTCAGACGCTTAAGCTAGAGCCCGGCTGGCGTGGCTCAGGGGCTGAGCGACCACCTCTGACCCAGGAGGTCACGGTTCAGTTTCCAGTCAGGACACAGGCCTGGGTGGCGGGCTCGGTCCCCAGTGGGGAGCATGCAGGAGGCAGTCGGTCAGGGATTGGTTCTCTCATCACGGATGCTTCTATTTCCCTCTCCCTTCCTCTCTGGAAGCAGAAAAACATGTTTTTTTTAAAAAAGCTCAAGCCAGAGAAAGGCTCCCTCCCCAGAAAGAGCAGGAGCCAAGGAGCCAGGCGGGCAGCTGGTCAGCGCCCTCTGCCTGGGCGTGCAGGAGGCCGTGCGCCGGAGCCTGCGTCCGGTCCTGTGTGTCGTTGCTGTTTCCTCACCCGCAGGATGGGCCAGCGCCCCCGTCCTCCGGGGCAGCAGGCCTCTGGGGCCTCTCCCGGGCTGGGCTATGGGAGGCCTGAGCGGCAGGCAGGGGCTGGAGGGCACGGGGCTGGGTCTGAGTGGGACCTGGCCTCTCCCGGCGTAGACCGTACCTGCTGGGTAGCCCGCCCGCTCGGCACAGGCCCAGAGCTCGCCTCTGCTCTGCCGGGGGCGGCAGGCTCCGGCGTCACCCAGATTCCCAAGTGCCGGCTCAGAGCTGGCGCCCTGGGCGCCTGGGCTGGGGTCCCACAGACAGGGCCCTTCACATCACTCACGTAAGCAAATCTGTGTCCCCTGCCTCTTCCTTTCTGTGCTGGCTCTTCTACCTCCATGGGGGAGGGATGGAGAAGGGGGTGGGGATGGGGAGGGTTGACTACTACTTTTTAATCCTCACCAGAGGATATATATTTTTTTCTATTAAAAGAGTGGAAAGTAGGGGGGCGGGGAGAGAGAAAACATCTATGTGAGAGGGACACGTCTGTTGGTTGCCTCAGGCACGCACCCTGACGGGCAGGGGGATGGAACCTGCCACCCGGGTCTATGCCCTGAACCAGGAGTCCAACCCGAGACCCGTCAGTGCGTGGCGGCGGTCTAACCACTGAGCCACGGCCCGGCTTCAGGCGGGGTGTCTCACTCTCCCTGGAGCCCCTGATTTTAAAAGCCTTTGTTCCTTTGGCTGAAGCCCCTCTGGGGCCAGAGCACCCAGCGGGAGCCTGTGCCGGGGCACATCCACACCCCACGCACGGCTGCAGGCCAGCGCCCGCCGGCCCTGGGGTCCTGGCCGTGCCCTGCACAGACCGGCCCACGGGCAGGGTGAGCGCGACTTCCCCGCAGAGCTGGCCACCGCCCTGCCCTCTGGCTCCTGGCAGCGGCCGTCCGTCACACGTCGGGCCCGTTGGCCAGGGCCTGGGTGAGGGCGCAGGGCCGGGCGCCCCGGGAGCCCCCGCGCAGGCCGCCCTCGGCGGCGGGGCCGGCTCCCGGCTCGCCCTGGGGGCCGTGCCGGCGGAAGAGGCCGCGCACGGCCGCCTGGAAGCCGCTGGTGACGAAGCAGTAGACGATGGGGTCCATGCAGCTGTTGAGGCTGCTGAGGGTCACGGCCACGTGGTAGACCACGAGGCTGGCGTGGCGCGGGATGCCGGGCCACAGCGCCACGGCCACCTGGCGCGCGTGGAAGGGCGTGAAGCAGACGAGGAAGATGACGAGCACGGTGAGCAGCAGCTGCACGGCGCGCACGCGGCGCTGGCGGCCCTGGCGCAGCAGCCCCGGCCGGCTCAGCGCGCACACGATGCGGCCGGTGAACACGCTGATGACCAGCAGCGGCAGCAGGAACTCCAGCACGGTGAGCGCGAACACGCCGCAGCAGGGCCCGCGGGCCGCCACGCCCAGCACCGACAGCGTCACGGCGCCGCCCGCCAGCCACACGAGCGCGCACACGGCGCGGGCGCAGGCGGGCTGGCGCCAGCGGCGGGCGCCCTCGGGCCGCACGATGGCCAGGTAGCGGTCCACGCAGATGCAGGTGAGGAAGAGCACGGAGCAGTGCATGTTGAGGAAGTAGCCGAAGACGTGCGGGAAGGCGCAGCGCGGGCAGCCGCGGGCCCCGTAGAAGACGGCGAAGCGCGTGGGCAGCGACAGGTCCACCAGCAGGTCGGTGACCACCAGGTTGACGGTGTAGGTGACGGAGGGCGTGGCGGCCCGCGTGCGGCAGCAGAACACGTACAGCGCCAGCCCGTTGAGCGCCAGCCCCGCCGCGCACACCACGCCGTGCACGGCCAGCAGCGCCAGCCACAGCCCGGGGAAGGCGCTGTGCAGCTCCTCGTCCAGCGCCGCGAACATGTGGAACAGCGGCCGCTCGGCCGCGCTGCCGTTGGCCCAGGCCGCCCCCGCCGCCGTGGGCGCCGTGGCGTTGGGCGCCGCCGGGGACGCGGAGGCCATGATGGCGGCCGCCAGCACGCGCTCCGGGCCTGGGAGGAGAGAGAGGGGGGTTACCCTGGCGAATCAGGAGCCCGGGAGGCTGGTCTGCTCACCGAGCACCCAGCGTGTCTACCTGCCCGGGTGGAGCTTTGGCTAGAGACTGGCGCTCTGCCCCGGCCGGTGTGGCTCGGTGGATAGAGTGTCGGCCTGCAGACGGAAGGGTCCCGGGTTCACTTCCAATAAAGGGCACAGGCCCGGGCTGTGGGCTCGATCCCCAGTGTGGGGCGTGGGGAGGCAGCCGATCACGGAGTCTCTCTCATCACTGATGCTTCTCTCTCCCTCTCTCTTCCTCTCTGACATCAATGAAAACATATTGAGGAAGAAGAGGAGGAGGAGGAGGAAGTGGAAGGAGGCTGGTGCTCCGAGCCTGCTCCTCCCTCCGGGGCCCAGGCGGCACCTCGGAGGCGGAGGTGACCGGTGTGGCCTGGCTCAGAGGACGGGCAGTGTGTGGTGTTTGAACCCAGCTCCCACCCGCCTCCCCCTTACGCTGGGCGCTGGCGTCTTGGGGGAGTCAGCCGCTCAGTGCCCGAGTCCCAGGGGGGAGGAGGGGCCGAGGAGGAGGAACCGAGCACAGCCGCGCCCGGCCCGCGGACAGGGCCAGTGTGAGCCCCTTGCTCATCCACCTGCTGGCCCTCGCCCTGAGGCCCGGCCTGCCCTCAGCCCACCCACCTGTTCTCGCCGCCCCCAAGGCGGCGCCAGGGCAGCGCCCTGCTGAGGGTCCTCGCGGGCACCGCACCCCAGGGGCAGGGCTGCTCCAGGCCCTCGGCGCCCCGTTCCCTCCCAGCCCGCGAGGCGGCACCTGGTTGTGGCGGAGGCGCAGGCGCGGTTCACCGGGGGAGCCGGAGCCGGGCCAGGCGCAGGGCCCGGTGGGTTGAGTTACATAAACGCCGGTGGCCGGACACGGTGGTGGGGGCGGGGGGCTGGGCGGGGGCTGCCCCTCTGTTTATGTTCCCGCTGCGCTGTTTGACTTGCTGGGATTTATCCCTCTATTTATAAGGGAAGGGTTAACGGCCCCTGCCCCACGCCGCCCTCCAAATAAGGGCATTTCTGGCTTTTCCAGGGGAAAGGAGGGAGCGGGGGAGGGGCGGCGTGTGGACAGCCAGGGGCGAGGGGGCCCCCCTGCAGCGGGAGGGGAGACCCCTTTCTCCAGTGACCGGGAGCGAGTGGCCCGCTGTGAACGGCCAGACGCTGCCCACGTGCCTGGCTCCAGGCTCCCTCGGGCAGCACCCACCCTGCGGAGCGAGGACTCGCCCGGCGGGCGCACCCGGGAGAGGAGCCCTCACTGGCCTGCAGGGAGCCTGGTGAGCAGCGCTGCCCCGCCCTGGGCGCAGAGCCAGCACCTGCTGAGGTCCCTGCGCTGCTGGGAGGGGCCAGGTGCTGCCCGGGCCTGTGCCCGGCCCCGCCAGTCATCCCCAGCTCACGGGGCTCAGCTCACGGGGCTCCGGGCCACTCAGCCCTGAGCCTGGTCACACTCAGCCCTGAGCCTGGTCACACTCAGCCCTGAGCCTGGTCACACTCTGGCCTTTGACCCTGGTCACTCTGAGCCCTGACCCCGGTCACACTGAGCCCTGACCCTGGTCACACTGAGCCCTGACCCTGGTCACACTGACCCTGACCCTGGTCACACTGACCCTGACCCTGGTCACACTGACCCTGACCCTGGTCACACTCAACCCTGACCTGGCCTCAGCCTGGGCCCTGAGCCTGGTCACACTGACCCTGACCCTGGTCACACTGACCCTGACCCTGGTCACACTCAGCTCTGACCTGGCCTCAGCCTGGGCCCTCACCTCTGATGCTGCATTCCCACCATCTCTTTCCCGTCCTCTCTGCTGAGTGGTCGTCCCCATCCCTGTCCTCCCCTTACCCCCCCAGGCCTGGTCCCCACCTGGTAAGTGGGGTCACTAGGGTTTCCCAGGAAGGCATGGCCTGTCCCTCCCTTCCTGGCCGGTGCCCGGGGCCTGGCCGAGGTGGAGCAGACCCTGACGCCGGGCCAGCTGGGCCACCTGTGTCTGGTGCCCAGCACGGTGCTGGGCGTGGCCTGGTGGCAGCCAGGGCAACCAGCCAGCGGGGAGGCATTCACCGGGTCTGGTTCTGGTCTCAGAGCCGGTGTCTCACCTGCGAAGCTGGGAACCGGGTCTGGTGAATGAACGAGGGGGCAAACCCATGAATGAAATCTGGCAGCGGCCGGATGAGGCTGCGGGAGTGAGAATCGCCAGCGCCCATACCAGGCTCACGTCCTGACAGCAGCGCGGGCAGCTCTGGGCGCCCCTGAGCGGGGCCCTGATGGGCCTCCCAGGTGCCGGCGAGGGACTTCTCAGAGCCTGGGTGAAGGCTCGAACCCAGGACCAGTCCACAGAGGATGAGCATCTTCCCCAGTCCTCGGACCCGGTCCCTCCTGGGGCTCCTCTCTGTCCAGCCTGACGGCCACACCCATGAGTGGGGGACTGTCTTCCCTCAGCTCCCTGGTGCCCGGGGAACACAAGGCCAAGACCCCACGGGGGTCGGGGCCGTGCTGACCTCCCCTCGTGGGCAGGGAGGGTGTGTCCTTTCCCACCCCCTTGTCCCCTCTTGTCCCTGCGTGTTCTCTGTGGGTGCCTCCACCTGCCACGATGGGGTGTGGGGAAGCCGTGCTTCCGCCATGGGTGCACACCTTCCCAGGCCCGGTGCTTGGAGCCTCTGCTGGGCCAGGTGCTGGGCGTCCGCACGGTCAGCCTGTGTGTCACAGACGAGGGGGCGGAGGCCCGGAGCCAGGCCACCTGCTCCCAGGCCAGCGGGTGGGACCGGGCTGGGGGCCGGGCCTCTGGGCTGAGGTCTGTCGGGCACACAGAGATCCCTGGGCACGTAGCACCGTGTGCCCACGAGATGCCATGCCAGGGCCAAAATAGCCAGTAGTAGAGGAACTGGCTCCTGTTTGTTTTTCTGGTGATTCTTGGTCTCGCGGCAGCAGCTTGAGAATATCGCCTGCGGTTCTACCGGGACGCCGGGCCCCGGCTGAGGCCCCGGGAGGGACCCCCAGCAGGAGCTGGGGGATGCCAGCCAGACTGTGGGCTCCTCTGGCCAGGTTCCCTCCGCTGGGCTCCGGGAGAGGGGCCCCTGGGGGGCATGGGTGGGTGAGAGCAGAGGCCACCTGGGCCCGCCACGCCCCCGCACTCTGCCTCACAGCCCAGCCAATGAGATGCAAGCCCCGCACCCGGGTCCTGGGTGCTCGGACAGCCTCCTGCCGCCCAGCCCAGCCCCCCCCGAGGCAGCCTCTCTGGGGCAGCGGGGCGGGCTCCAGGCATCCCGGCTGGCCTCTGCCCCGTCCTTCTCCAGCAGATCTGCCTGGTCCTCTCGGCCTTTGCACATGCGTCTCTGCCAGTGTCACCTGCACCCACAGCCCCACCCCACCCCCGTCCTGTGCCCCCGACCGCCTGGTGCCCTGGACACCCGTCCCCGGGGCAGAGCTGTGACCCCACAATCCACGTGTTGTCTCCAAGGGGTCCCCTTGCAGGGGCTCACGGAGCCCTCCCCAGACACCCCCACGTGGGTGCTATCAGCCCCGGGCGTGTGAGTCACCCAGCGGGGGGGGGGGGGGGATTGGTGTGTGCGCTCTGCCCCGGGGCCCCTCCTTCCTGCCCCGTGCCTCGGACAGGACACGGCCTGTGCAGGGGGATCCGCAGGCCCAGCCGGGAGCCCCTGCAGGGGAGGGGACATGAGCGCCCCTCCAGCTGGGGGGACCGCATGCTGGCAGAAGGGGGTGGTGGGCAGTGGGCAGCTGGGCGGCCGGCCTGGACGCTGTGAGACGCACAGCTGCTCCCTATCTGCCCGTCGCCGCCCTGGCCACCGGCCAGTTCCCAGCCCGCTGCCCGCCCCCCGTGGACGGCTCCTTCTCACGGGCCGTCACTGCCAGCCAGAGCGGGACGGGCAGAGCCAGCTCCCAGCCCTGCCGGGCGGCCGTGCACTGGGCCTCAGTTTCCCCACCCTGTTGGGGTCAGAAAGGGTGGGGCTGGAGCTGAGAGCCTCAGCTGGGGAGAGGCTGGGCTGGCCCTCCTGCTCGGAGCCCGTCCGCATGAGCCCTCCGTCCCAGTCCTGCCCAGCCTGGAGGAAGGTGGGGCCGAGGTCCCACAGCTCATCCAGGGCCCCTGGCCCCCTTCCAGCGCCTCCACAGGTGGGAGATCCCGGTCGCCTTGGGCAGAGGATAGAGAGCCGCGGGGTGAACGAGTGAGTGAATGAATGAATGAATGAATGAGGTCCAGAGAAGGGCTCTGGGGCTCAGCAGCACCGGGAGGCTGGGCGGGAGGGACACCCCACCAGCCCTGGGGAGCCCCCTCCTCTGCACCCGCCTGGCCGCCCTCCCGCCCCGGCCCGGTGTTCTCCGGGCAGACCGAGACCCTCGGCCTGGGCTGGGCGCTGGTGGGCTGGGCACGGGCTGGGGGAGCCGGGACTCACCTCCCTCCGCAGCCGGTGGCGAGGCAGCGCCGGCTCCGCTCCCGTCTCCGGCAGCTCCGGCCACTTGGTCCGGCCGCTGCCTTCCTGGGGCCTGACGTCACTGGCGCCCGGGGCTCCTTTTGGGCAAAGGCTACAGCGGTGGGGGCGGGGCGGGCGGGCGGGCGGGGCGGACCCTCCTCCCACCCCACCCACCGCCCCTGGAGGAGCTGTCAGGCCTCTGGGGAGCCCGTCAGGCCCCTGGCCGGAGGAGCTTAGGGGCACAGAGTGCACAGCCCTGCAGGGCAGAGGGAAACTGAGGCACTTAGGGGTGGGGCCAAAGCGGCAGGGGCCAGGAGGGGAGGGGAGGGGCAGAGGGAGCCTGGGGGCTGCAGCCTGGGCTCCCTGACCCCCAGCCCTGTTTGGGAGGGAGTGCAGCCTGCGCCCTGGGTGCTGGGCAGATCACAGACCCAGCTGCCTGCCGGGAGGGGCAGATGTCTGTGTGCCTGCCCGCATGGCCTCTGGGGTCTGCGTTTTAGACATCTGGCCCCTGT